CCTCTGACCTCAGACGCTCCCTCTGACCTCAGACGGTTCCTCTGACCTCAGACGCTCCCTCTGAACTCAGACGGTTCCTCTGACCTCAGACGCTCCCTCTGACCTCAGACGGTTCCTCTGACCTCAGACGGTTCCTCTGACCTCAGACGCTCCCTCTGAACTCAGACGGTTCCTCTGACGCTCCCTCTGACCTCAGACGCTCCCTCTGACCTCAGACGGTTCCTCTGACCTCAGACGGTTCTTTAGACGGTTCCTCAGACACGTCGTGCCTTACTGCTTTATTGTAAACCCAGACACCTGGTTACCGTGACAACCAGCAGAGGTCAACCTGATCCAGTGAACAGTGCAGCCCACTGTGAGCCTCGTTCCCTGACCCACCTGTCCGTTGTTACGCCGTCTTCCCTCGGAGTGGAACCCGGCTGTTCTCAGCGGCTCTAGCCAAGCCGTCGGCGGTCAGCGCCTCCTCCAGAACCCTCCGGGCTTGGTAGACCTTCAGCTCCTGCTCCCTGCACATACATCAGGTTCTGATCACTAATGAGCTCCATCAAGGTTCTTCTGAGGGAGAAGCTTCTGAAGAACCTGGACCTCCAGGGTTTAATGAATCTGGTTATCAGGAGGTTCTACTGAGACTGGGAGAGAGATTCTGGTTTGGTTCTAACACAGAATGGAGATCCGGCCAGTAAACCTTCCCAGCTCCCAGCGGCTCTCACCGGATCTGCTCGTCCGTCACGGTGAAGGACTTGCAGAGCGGCTGTGCGGTGTTCAGCCAGATGGTCGGGTTCTTCTCGGCTGCCACCGACGTCTGGCCCGTGATGGGAGTCGAGCTCATGTGCAGCGCGCTGGCGATGGCCGACAGCAGAACATCATCGCTAGAGTCCGGCCCGATACCTGCAGGGGAAAGAAGGCGGGGGAGTCAGGGGCTAAACTGGGAGTAGGAGGCCGGATTGACTGGAGGTCTGGGTTACCCTGCAGGCCTTTGGGGAGCTCCATGGCATGGAGGACTTCCTCAGAGACGTCTGATGAGCGCAAACCTCTGAGCCGCCTCTCCCAGAACAGCTGCAGACGAGAACAGTGTTAATCCCAGAAGTTCCTGCCTGGAGAAACCCGGGTTCCTCAGGTTCCTGCCAGACACTGGGAGAATGCCAGGGTCTCACCTGTCGGGGCGGCTCAACGGCCCTCTGCAGGTCTGTCTTCACCTTGTTTCCAGGGTGACTGGTTACCTTGGTAACAGGCTGTTTGAAAATGGACGCTGTCTGTCTGATGGGCAGAGCCGTGTTCAGGTCTGGTTTCCCTCCCTGCAGGAAAAAAAAGGTAGAGTTACTCTGACATCAGGATGAGTCGCACCTTAAACAGCGACTGAAAGCAGGCTGAGGAACCCAGAAGATCCCAGTCAGACAGCCTGGGCGCTCTATGGCAGCTGCTCCCTCCCAGCAGGAAAATCTGGTCATATGCCTAAGCCCCGCCCTCACAGGTTACCTTAGCCAGGCTGAGTGCGTCGTGTCGGAACTTCTGCTTGTTCTTCTGCAGCTTTCCAGGCATCATCTTCCCCGTGCGAAAGTCAAAACATGCCAGGTCCACGGCGTTTCCGAGGTAACGAGCCAGCTGAGGCTTACTCCGGAACTTCTTTCCTGTCGGACTGAAGAAGAAGAGTAAATGAGGACACGGGTGATAAACGCCATGAGAGGTTCTGCTCAGACAGAACATGAAGGGAAAAGAAGCAAAGAAAGTTGTTCTCCTCTTCCTCACTTTGACGCCTGCTGTTCCCAACATGCTAGTTCCCTTCAGAACGGAGCGACTCCATCCCTACAGGCACTGATGGATGATCCATAGCAAACTAAAATCTACGTGACACAACCAATATGACAGTCAAACATCGGCCACAGAACCAACAAACATCGACCACAGAACCAACAAACATCGACCACAGAACCAACAAACATCGA